TCTTTTTTCTTTTTTTCTTTCTTTCTTTCTTTCTTTCTTTCTTTCTTTCTTTCTTTCTTTCTTTTTCTTTCTTTCTATCTCTCTTTCTCTTTCTCTCTTTCTTTCTTTCCTCCTTTCCCTTATACCAGTTGTTCCATCCTTTTGAGTAGTTTCTTTCCTTTTCACATTATCTATTGTGCCTTTCAGATTTTATTTACTCTTTCAGGTTCTTACACTAGGGAGACAATACAATGTTTGCACATGTGGGTCTGATTTATTTCACTTATGAGTATGGTCTCTAGTTGTATCCATTTACCTATAAAAGCCTTGAGTTTATCTTTCTTTATAGCTGAGTAATACTCAATTGTATAAAAATACCACATCTTTTTTATCCACTCCTCAGTTGATGGGCATTTGGGTGGTTTCCATAATTTAGCTATTAAAAATTGCTCTGCTATAAACATGGGTGTACATATATTGCTGTGGTATGATATTTTCAGTTCTTCTGGAAAAATACCCAGAAAGGGAACAGGTGGGTTGAGTGGGACTTCTTTTTCCCCACAGTCCTTCCAGCATTTGTTATTGGTTGATTTTTTGATGATAGCCATTCTTTCTGGGGTGAGATGGAATCTCAGTGTTGTTTTAATTTGCATTACTCAAATGACCAGTAATGTTGAAAATTTTTCATATATTTTATTTACCATTTGTATTTCTTCATCTGAGAAGTGTGTATTCATCTCAGATGCCCATTTTTGGATTGGGTCTTTGAATTTTGGGGGTCTGAAGTTTTAAAAAATATTTTTATATATTCTAGATGCAAGTCCTTTGTCTGAGGGACAGTTAGCAAAAATTTTTTCCCAATTTGTGGGTTTTCTTTTCACTCTGTTAGTGATTTCTTTTGATGTGCAAAATGTTTTCAATAAGGTGACATCCTAGCTGTTGATTTTTTGAAGTATTTCCCATGCAGTGTGATTTTTGTTCTTCAAGATTTCTACTTACTTTCTCTTCGAGTAGCTTTAGCATTTCTGTTTTAAGTTAGATCTTTGATCCATTTTGACTTTAGTTTAGTGTATGGTGATAGATATGGGTCTAGTTTCAATCTTCAGCATATGGAGAGCCAGTTTTTCCAGCACTATTTATTGAAGAGGCTATCTTCCAGTGAACATGTTTGGCCCCTTTGTCAAAGATAAGGTGGTTGAGTGTGTTTGTGGTCATTCCTGAATCTTCTAGTCTGTTGCATTGATCCTCAGGTCTGTTCTTTTGACAGTGCCATGATGATTTTATCATAGTAACTTTGTAGTATAATTTCAAGTCAGGGATTCTGATGCCTCCTGCCTTGCCTTTGTTGACCAGGATTGCTTTTGCTATTCTAGGCCTCTTCTGGTTCCAGATGAATTTTAGGAATGTTTTCTCCAGATCTGTGAGGTGTACTGACGGTATTTTAATTGGGACTATGTTAAATCTTTATAACAATTTTGGGAATATGGCCATTTTCACAATGTTGGTTCTTCCTACCCAAGAGGAAGGAATATCTTTCCATTTTCTGAAATCTTCTTTGACCTCTTTTTTTCAGAGTATTTTCACTGTATAGATTTTTACTTATTTTGTTAGATTGATTCCTAAGTATTTCAATTTTTTGGATGCTATTGTGAAAGATTTGGTTTCCTTAATTTTTCTCTCAGTGTGTTTGTTATTTATGTAGAGGAATGTTATTGATTTTTGAGTATTGACTTTGTATCCAGCTCTGCTACTGAATTTGTTTATTAATTCTAGAAGTCCTTTGGTGAAGTTTTTGGGGTCTTCCATGTAGTGTATCATGTCATCTGTGAATAATGATAATTTAACTTCTTCCTTTCCCATCTTTATTCCTTTTGTTTCTCTCTCTTGTCTAATTCCTCTGGCTAATGTTTCCAGAACTATGTTAAATAGGAGTGATGCTGGTGATATCCTTGTCTTATTCCTGATTTTAAAGTGAAAGTATTTAGTTTTTGTTCATTTAGTATGATGTTGGCTGTTGGCTTCTCATAGATTAACTTTATCAGAATGAGGTAAGTCCATCTATTCTGATTTTCTGTAGGGTTTTTATCATGAATGAGTGTTGGACTTTATCAAAAGATTTTTATACATCTATTGAGATGATCATGTGATTCTTGTCTTTGGCTCTGTTGATATGGTGTATTATGTTTACTGATTTGCAGATACTGGACCACCCCTGCATTCCTGGGATGAATCCCTTTTGGTCAAGCTGTACAATCTTCTTGATAATTTGCTGCATTATATTAGGTAGCATTTTATTGAGATTTTTTTGTATCTATGTTCATTAGGGATATTGGCCTATAGTTCTCTTTTGTGGTTGAGTCTTTCTCTGGTTTTGGTATCAGGGTAATACTTGCCTCCAGGAATGAGTTAGTGAAAATTGCTTCCCTTTCTAGTTCATTACAGAGTTTGAAAAGAATTGGCATTAAATCTCTAAATTTCTAGTAGAATTCAGCTGTGAATCCATTAGGACCTGGGCTTTTCTTTGTTGGTAAGATTTTTATTATGTTTGCAGTTTCATTGAGTGATATTGGGTTATTCAGGATTTTTATATCTTCTTGATTCATCTATGGTAATTCATGTGTATCTAGGAGTCTGTCCATTTCTTCTGTGTTTTCCATCCTAGGAGAGTAAAGATTTTCGAAGTTAGTATTGGTGATCTGAATTTCTACAGGATCTGTAGTGATTTCACCCTTTTCATTCCTTATTGTGTGAATTCAAATTTTTTCTTTCCTTTTTTTGATAAGGTTAGCTAGGGTTTATCA